TTTAATGGGCCGTAAAAAATTTTCATACGAACGAATTGAAAGATTAGAAAATATGAAAGATGTCACTAGCGGTTTTAATTTGTTGTTAACTAGAAAAAGTGTATAATAAAATGTAGTTGTGTCAAGTTCAGAACACCAAATCTTCATTGCTAAGGAAACCAAACACAATCTCCTGGTATTTAAACGGATAATACCTGTGATTACACGCGTTTTGGCCAGGGAATCCACCTGACCATTGTATTCACCGATAGTACAACAAAGGAATCAATAAAAACTCAAATCGCGTTGTAGTATGACTAAGAAAAACCAAGAATTTTACGTTTATTCAATAAATGAATTGCTTGTCATTGTTATCATGGAAATACTAGGACAAAAAGAAACAATTGAAATAACTCTACAAAATGGGTGGAAAATGTTCTTTGTGCCTTTCACATTGCCATTAGAACATAACCTACTTATTCAGCCAATCAAATGCTTCCATTTCTCGCGAAGAATTGATTCTTCATGGTGAAGAATTCTTCTATTTCTGAAATATTTTACGGTGTTTGATTGGTTTACTCGACAATTACATGGGCGTGTTTTATTGGTTTTTGTTCAGCGCACAAAAAGAAACTATTCAAAACCCACGTGCTGTTTACATTTGATATTTAAACTTTCTAGGCCTTGCTACACTTTTTTCCCACAGTAATCTTTTGTCGCCTTTTTGAATATCATTTTTTTTTCACATTTCGGTACATAAAGAAAATACAACCATCGTCATGTATATCAGAGACGAACCTTGTCTTTGAAGACAGATTTAATTACCATTCTCATCAAATTTATATTTGATATTAGACAGCGATACCCAATCCTGCTGACTAGGCCCTTGTCATCTCAGCACAATCAATTTTTCAAAAATATAGATATGACGATTCTTGTTACATGGGTATTCATTAGTTCAGACTTAACTTTGATATCTTCACCATGCCATTTCTCCAGTAAATCAAGCTATTTCTTATAATTCCGTGCTAACATGAATGGGTTGGGAGTCCATTCTGAAACTGCGTGTGTTCGATATTGATTGTGTGCTCGATATGTACAAAGAGCGGTCAAGTTGAGCCTTATATATGACACAGCCGTGGGAGTTTATTTTTAATCGATTCATTTGATTGGCTGAGGTTCTGTTCTAAGTCAGTATCTTACTATAGTCTGGTCCTGATTTTTAAAAAGAAGGCTGTAAATAACTTCTAACGGCAAATAATTATTATTTGGTCCAGCATAGTTTTTTAACCTAATTCGAGTATGCTGAATCCGAAAAAATATGCTGGCTTTCATGAAAATTGCGTTAAAGAGGTCAAAATGGCGATTCAAAATGGCGGACATCCAATTTTTTCTAATTTTCTCTTAATGTCGTTAAAAATGGAGAAGTAATGAGTGAATATTTTACTGAGTGTAATAAAACTATAAAAAAAAAATATAATAAAATGCTAACATTATTAGTTTAACTCAGAAAATCTAGCCGTTTTTTACTTATTTCGAATTTTCTCTGATTTATTTGACTATTGTTTCTTTATTGTCCTTTGTTCAGGATTTTACATTTGCAAATATCCATACACTGCAGATTTGTATTTTTTCCTCTACATCTCACTACTCTACAATTGAATAATGGTGCAGCTGTAAGTTTAAAGTCAAAATGGCGATTCAAAATGGCGGATATTCCTTTTTTTCAAATTATTTCTTAATGTCGTTTACATAGGAGAAAGGATTTGTGAATATTTTATTGAGCGATGTACAACTAGGTTAAATTCCAATAGAACACTAGTATGATCACTTTAAATCGGAAAATTTAGTCGTTTAAATTTAAAATGTGTTATTTAGATCAAAATGGCAATTCGAATGACGTGTTATACACTCGATTTCGTAAAATACCCATACTGCTTAATTCTGATTTGTTTTGCAGAAAATAAATAACAGGTTTTTTTTATTCATGAAATAATGTTCAAATATGTGATGGAAGTTAATGGATATTTTCATTAATGACTTAGGATTTTTATAAAACGGATTTTTGTTTAATTACTTCTATTATTAAGATAAATTTTTGAGGACAATTCCAAAGACATTTCACCTATTATCCATCATACTTGTATCATGCTTCTTCATATAAAAAGTTAATAATATCATACAATAAATGCTGTTTTGAGGACAATATGAAAATTAAGCTACCCCAAGAGCAGTATTCACCGAGCATTAAGGCGAGTGAACATTGTAGTTCGAGGGTTGCTAAATCATATCAGTTGTTGGAAATTCTTGATCCAATTTTAGTCCAGTGTAGAAAAAAATATTTATGTTCATGTGGAAGATCTAGTGCAACATAACTTAGTATGATTTTTAAAATGATGAACCACGAGCAATTAGATTGCTAGTAATTGTTACATAATATAAATCTGAATATATTATAATATCCTAGCATAAACATATTTATTAAGAATTATCAGTATAATATACGTAAACCATAATTTTTTTTTATTGTCCAGCTCTGATTCTGTGTCCTTACATTTGCATTTTGTTATTCTCAGTCAAAAATTCAACTGCATTTTCAAATATTTCATGGTGTGAACGGTCCTCCTCCATCAATTTTGTATTGAACAGTGTATATAAATTTAAAAAAAATTAAATTTACAAAATCTGAAAGAAGAAAATGTTTGTGTTCAATCCTTCCTCGATTCTTGATACAACTTTACACTATCCTAACAAAGAAGTGTGGATCAGGTTGCCTTGTAAAGTTCTTGGAGTGTTCAAGAAAATTTTGTTGTCAAGAGAAGTGTTTACTAGATCGAAGTCAAGAATGGCTTATGCCTATTGTACGAAAGCTTGTAAGTGATAGGAATCACGAGGAATCTGCAGGTGCTATTAAATTGCAAAATTTTACAACGTTTCTCACCAAAATATGCACACAATGTGATTCCAGAAGATGAAGTTTGAGAATTTTCTTGCTAATAGAATGACCTTTCTACCCAAAAAGAAAACAAATCTATACGCGGTCACGAAATAAAGAGCTACAAGTCTTGAATATCAGAGATTTTTTATACCCCCCCCCCCGATTGAAAAGTGGGAGGGTATAGAGTAGTCGGTATGTCCGTCCGTCTTTTACGCTTTGGGGTACCCGTCTCTTATCCACAACTCGTCTCATACCACTGAATGAAATTTGATAAACTTTCACAGAATCGTTATTACATGTTGCCATTGTGCACCTCCTATATCTTTTTGATCCAACACATATTTTGGGTTTCACATAGCAAAACATGGACCGTGACTGTGTACTCATAGGTATTCATATGGGTGACGGGGGTATCATTTAGTGAGCTAATTGCTCACAGTACCTCTTCTTCATTTTGCATAAGGTTTTGGAAAACAAAATAGACTTTTAACATTTGAACATAAATGTATTTTTCCTTGAGTGTTGATTGATTGTATATTGTTTAATTAACGCCGAGTCGGCTATTTTTCAGCCATGTTTCGGCGAACTATCAGTTTAAATAATCGGTTTTTGGAGGATTCTGGTTTCTCTGGTGCCCCCTGTGAGATTACTCTTTTTCGAACTCCAGAGAAAAGATCTTTTACGTGCCAAGTGGGTTGTCATCCTTGACTCAGGGCACCGTTTTACTTGACCTTTGAAAATACTAAAATTCCGAAGACAGAGTGAAACATATAAAATAAAGCTGGAATAGAAGATAAAATAGGGGATAATACATGTACTAAGTTCTTATAAGTGCCAAAAAGCTAAAACAAAGTATGCGATGAAATCGGAAATGAATTTCCTCAGTTATATTTGATGGTGTGCTGAGGGATGTTGAGGTAGAAATGCGAGTTGATAAAGACTGGATATAGGAGTGATTTTAGGTGGACGGGGGCTCAAAGGCTTTGGAACACGGTCAAATACGAGGGGGAAAATTTGGAAACTCTTATGTCGAGTTTGTTTTAACTACACGTATTTCCAGAAACACATGAATCTTTTCTGATATTTTTTGTTTGTTCATATTTAATAGAATAATCAATATACTATAATTATGTGTAAAAAACAAACTGTAATTTATTTTCAAAATTAAGCAGTTTGAGTATTTTCGAAAATTCGAAATTCGAGTGAATATGACGTCATTTTGAGTTTTGAGCTAATTAAAACATTTAAATTTAAACGACTAAATATTCCATTTTAAAGTGTTCATAATAGTGTTCTATTGGAATTTTACATTAGTTTATTGTACTCGCTCAATAAGATATTCACAAATCATTTTTTCTATGTAAAAGACATTAAGAAATAATTTGAAAAAAAGGAATATCCGCCATTTTGAATCGCCATTTTGACTTTAAACTTACAGCTGCACCATCATTCAATTGTAGAACTGTGAGATGTAGAGGAAAAAATACAAATCTGCAGTGTATGGGTATTTGCAAATGTAAAATCCTGAACAAAGAAAAAATAAAGAAACAATAGACGAATAAATCAGAGAAAATTCGAATTAAGTGTAAAAACGGCTAAATTTTCTGAGTTAAACTAATAATGTTAGCATTTTATTATATTTTTATAGTTTTATTACTCTCAGTAAGATAATCACTCCTTACTTCTCCATTTTTAACGACATTAAGAGAAAATAAGAAAAATTGGATGTCCGCCATTTTGAATCGCCATTTTGACCTTTTTACCGCCATTTTCATGAAGGCCAGCATATTTTTTCGGATTCAGCATACTCGAATTAGGTTAAAAAACTATGCTGGACCAAATAATAATTATTTGCCGTTAGAAGTATTTTTTTCTATAAATCGGACCAGACTACTATAACTTATATTTGTTTTTTTTTTTCAGGTGTAAAATTCCTGTAGTACCCGTTGTAACCCTGTGAAGTGGTTGTTTTATTTTCTGTATATATTACTTTAATTTTGTTCAAACGCGTTTCCATACTTTTGAGACTGTTTGGTCACTAGTATATAAGGGGATCGGTTTTGTTAGTTTGAGAGAGCTTGTCTGGTGTCCGGTAGCGTGACCAGCCGGAGGTGTGCCACGTTTGCAGTTTCCCCGGCATGATTATACAAATGGCGAATACTTTCGGTGAGATATAGCACCGTATATTAAACGGGTAGCCATACAACTTGCCAGGAGGATTATTGCAGCGTGTTTGTGCAGTTCTAGCCGGTAAGAGTGTTCGAGTAATGTTTATAGTTCGTTTGCAGTTATAATTTTCCGGTTTTAGTTGTATTTTAGGTTAGGTTTTTGTAAATATAAATTAATTTCAGTGCGTAAGGGGCTTGGAGACGAGTTTTGATGTATGGGCATACTGAGGGTCGTTTGACGAGGTCTGAGGCTTATTGACGAGTGTGTATGGAGGGCCACGTGCGTCTTATCCAAGGTCGACACTGTTAAGGGCGTGGTAGGATAACTGGAGCGGGAGGCTAAGACCCGGGGCTCTGCGAGTTAGGAACTACTATTTTGTGGACCACGGAACTTGGTGTGACGTTGACGTTACCTGTATGGCGAGAGCGCCGTGGTGTATTTTCTAGGACACATGTCACTGACCTGTTTTGTGAACCAGAACTTTGAGTAACTTTCAGTAGTAAATAACAGAACACGTTTACATTTGAAAAGATATTTTATTTTTATTTGAAGTTAATTGAGCTTTTTCGAAATATTAATTGAAAAGACTGAATTAAGTTGGTGAATTTTACCTTTTTGATTTAAAATCTGATAATTATCGACTCAGCATTGTAGCATGTAATATTCAACTTTATTATTATGTAAAGTATCAGAAGTGGTTTAAACTGAGTTAACTGTTCATATATATTTTCATTTCCGGTGTGTGAGCTGGTATGTGAGCGTGAGTGAGAGTAATTGAATATAATTTGTTTCTGTTTTTTTATTTGTGTTAATAAACTTATTTGTTATTTCTAATTGATATTGTTTTCCTTCTCAACTCTACAAAATCCAAAAAGAACTCATGACAAACCCATAATGCAATTCTCATTCATCTGATTTGTCAGTTGAAGCCATGTTTGTGCCTCATTTGCTAAGCTGACGCCAAAAAATATAGTCCCGATTCAAAATACATGTAAAGTTGCCCAAAAAGAAAATTTAATGCATAAAAGCAAAAAACTAATATCATAGAGAATATATATACTAATTAAAGTTGATGAATTCAAATGAAATTGAAGTACTTTTCTACAGATATTATTGGGTGGTAAAAATTGAAACACAACATAACTTCTATGCTTATTATGTCTCCACGTGCTAGTCACTTCCTAGCCACTGCCAAAGCTACTTTGAACTCCTCGGGTCTTATAATTTGCAGAACACCGAAAAATAAAAAGTTCCGAACACATTAGAAGGGTGCCGAACATAACACCAGAACCCCTGAGTTTGGGGTTGTGAAATCCACAATTTTCAAAGAGACACTCTTGCTCATCAAAACAATGTACTAATTATACCTCATTCATACGAATTATTTGCATACCTCAGTATAATTTACACATAGGTACATTTATTCACATGTGCAATTTTTGTCGCATGAACTGGTTTACTCATATGCAAATTCTGCACAGTTGAGTAAATTTACACCTGGTAAGGACTAAGTGCAAAATATAAAAAAAATACAATCTTTTCACGTTTCTGATTTAAGTAGAAATTTGAGCGTTATTTAAAAAAAAAACAAGAAGGGACGTAAAAAAATCAGTCAATTTTGAGCTTCCGTTTAAATAAAAAGTATACGGAACTGTTAAAAGCTCTGTAAAATCCATTTATTATGCTGAAACTTTCCCAACTTTTTAAAAATAATATCAATCTTTTATAGAATGTCATTGAATTTGGTACAATGTAGTTGAGATATATAAGCACCATATGCATTTTCACCTTTCTAGAATATACATAGTGTATGTGAAGTCATAGATAGTTCCTCATTATTATAACTGTATCCACAACACGTTTGCATTACCTTAAAACCCACTGGATACAATTCACCATTTAATAGAATTTAAAAAAAAACAAGTTCAAATAAAGATTCTTCAAAGAATAAATGAGTTCTTGGACACATTTTATATTCAAAATTATGAATCATGATTACAAATAAACGCTTCGTTTTGATTTAGTAACATTCTCCTAGGTTACCCCACGTGCAGACTCCCGCTTCATTTCTCCGGCAGAAGGAGCTATTTATGCAGTAATTGTCGGGGACATTACACTCGTCCCGAGAAGGCGGGGGGAGTTCAACTGAGGCCCCCGACAAAATTTTGTCATAATTCCATTTTATCTGCAAAAATCAGTATACGTACATGCAACAATTACATTTTTAATTTATAAAGTTCATATTACGCATCTATAAGGAATAAATGATTTTCGTTTTCTTTTTGTATTATAAATTGTCAAGGTAACCTTTTTCTAAATCATTTTTATGAAATCTTTTTAGCACATTTTTAAGACATTTCAGCAAAACTGAATAGTATATTAAGTACTGTTTCTAACCATCTAACAATGTTAAAAGCTCATGTTAAAGGCTGGAAGTTTTAAAAAAAAAGCATTCAAAATATTTTTTTAAATACTGGTCTATGAAAATTACCTTGCAATCACAGTCATATTTAGTTCTCATCCTCTCTACATCACTGGGTCTAACGTAGTCCATGCTTCTGTACTCGACAATATAGAACTTTTCATTGTCGCGGACACCAGCTATAAAATACGTGTAGATTGCTAGATTATTAAAGATGACACTGTTAAGTTAGATTATTACATTGTCAATTATTTATAAGACAGTTAGATTATCATTAATTTTCTTTTCATTGTTAAGGACGTTACTGTATTTAATTTTTAATTATATTCCGCAATGTTGTAAAATTAGAGAAGATGATACCTTATCATGTCTAACAGGTAAATCAAATCTGTTAAATGTTTTTTTCTTTTAAAAGTGAATTAGGTACATGTAAGACTCCCCAATCTAATAAATAACTTTTTATTTATTACAAACGCAAGTATTTTCTGTTTATGAGTACATGTAATTACCGTAAATAAGGAAAGACTTCCAGATCTAATAAAGTAATTCTAACAGACGTCATTTTTTCCTAAATACTACTTAGTTATTACTCTTAATCAGGTAATCTTCCCAATCTAATAATTAAAATTAGTTACTTAATACAGATGTTAGGTCATTTTCTTTGATAATAAATATCACAAAAAAGATAAGATTCCCCGATCTAAAAAGAATCCAACTTATTACATACTTTACTTTTTTCTTTATGTGTGCTTACCGTAAATTAAGTAATCTTCCCCGATATTTAGTTTCTGTGGTCCACAGGACATCATTGGCCCATCTCCAGTAATTGTGTCAAAATTACCCACCGCTTTGTTTGTGTTCTACAGAGCATAATTAGTGATAAATCTTTTACATTGACTTTAATTTCTATTTTTAAATAAATAAACTAATTGTTTATTACAATTTTATGGTATCAATTTTCATTAAATTTCGATGAGGAGAAAAAAAACTTTACTTTACAATTCGCCTGAATATCCACGTCAAAATTAACTGTCTCCAGAAAACATGTATTAAGTTAACAAGGATAAATTATTAAGATTACAAACAGCAATCGAGCTCAAAGTATCCTTGAAACAATGAAATAATTGCAGCAAATTAAGTTCGATTGAGTATCTGACACCACGGAGTATCCCCTATCTATTTTCAATGGTCACCATTCACGTAATGTTGAACATTTGATATTTGAATATGTTTACCTTCTAGTATATGGATTGCATGACATTTATATACTGTATACAGGGAAATACTCACCCCCGTTTTATTTTCGTCCCTTTCGCCCTTGTCAAAAGTGGGCGAATTTAAAGCGGGGCGAATCAAAGAACACAGTATAAATTCTTAAACATTACTTTGATTGGGCGAATTTAAAACGAGGCAAAATTATTAGCAAGTGTAAAAGAGCAAAATTAACACGGGGCGAAAATAACCTAGTAATTCTCTATCATATGGATTGTAGGACTTTGACATACTTTGTAGTCCAATATTATGACGTCTATATTCCTGTACATAATCATCTTTTTAATGGCTTATAGGACATTTATTCATTTTGTATTGATCCTCTGGATTGTGGACTGCAGGACGTTCACTTGCTTTGTTGTGGTATGTGAATGCATGACGTTTATATACTGTATACAGGGAAATATTCGCCCCCGTTTTATTTTTGCCCATTTCACCCTTGTCAAAAGTGTGCGAATTTAAAACGGAGCAAATTCAAAGAACACAGTATAAATTCTTAAACAGAATTGTGACTGGGCGAAGTTAAAAGGGAGCGAATTCAAAGAACACAGTATAAATTCGTAAATAGAACAGTGACTAGGCGAATTTAATACGGGGCAAAATTGTAAGCAAGTGTACAAGTGCGAAATTAACACGGGGCGAAAATACCACTGTATACAGTACCTGGTAATTCTCTTTGTGGTCCAATATCATATGGATTGTATGACGTTTATATTCCTTGTATATAATCCTCTATTATGTGGATTATAGGAAGTTTATGATTATTTTATTTTTTGTATTCCTCTGGTTTGTGGATTGCAGGACTTGTTATCTTCTTTTATCATGCAACTACCCCTTGCATTGACCTAATAAAGGTAACCTGATAAACCAAAGCTGCATCCAGTCACTGCCCTAATAAAGTCTCGGACATGTATTCCGACGTTTTAAAAGCATTATGACGTCATGTATGTTGCAATGTTTACGCCATGGCGTCATAGTTTCAAATGCAGAGATGTTCCTAAATCTGTCGGAAATAGCTTGTTTTGGACGTTCAAATGTAAAATTTTGTTGCAGTATAAACAAAATACATGGTAACTGTCTTGAAATATAAGCGATATTTGGGCTCGGATTGAAAACGTAAGAGGGGGGCTCGGCAAGCCTCGCCCTCTATCACGTTTTCTTACCCTCGCCCAAATATCGCTTATATTTCAAGACAGTAACCATGTATTTCATATGTATGTTATTTTGGAACATTAACATATTTTGTAATCCTCTGGTATATGAACTGTAGGATGTTTACTATTCTTGTTATCCTCTTGTTTATGGATTGTGGGATGTTTACGTATCATGTACCTTGTAATTAATATACTATTATATGAATTGCGTATATTATTAGTTACACAGTCAGTTAGTGACCTAATACGGATTCATACAGGGTGTGAAATTGAAATCCGTATTGGGCGAGGCGAAGCCGAGTCCCAATACGGATTTCCATTTCACACCCTGTATGAATCTGTATTAGGTCACCAACTGACTGTGTAACGAATTTATCCCGCTGAAGACCTTTTTCAATATAAAAAAAATGTTTGTGCATATTATGAAAATATTAAGTTTTAATCCAATATTAATCAACATAGAATATCGTTACGATAACAAGAAATTCAACTAAACTACCTACGTAAACCATTTCTTTGCCGCCATTTTTATTTACAATAACAACGCTTCGAACGGAATCGCGTGCCCGATTTTCATATTACGCCTCGACGGAGACGTAATACGGAAAATTTCAGGGCGTCATGTGATCAGCCTTTATCCAATCAGCAATCTACAAATTTGTCTGAAGCGGGATAAGGACATTTACATACCTAGTAATCCTCTGGTTTATAAAATGTAGGGTGTTTACGTGAACTTATCTTGTTGTTCTCTAGGATTTAGGCATTAATTACGAATAGGATGCGAATTAAAAACACACCTTGTAATCCTCGAGGGTGTAGATTGTATATAAATTAGCGTATTGTACAAATCTTATAATCTCCTAGGATGTCAAATAAAATATATAGCGTATTGTATACACCTTTTTATCCTCCAGGATGTTGTAAATATAGCGTATTGTACCAACCTTGTAATCCTCTAGGATGTCAATTGTGTATGTATAATCAGCGTATTCATCAACTTGTTCTACTGACTTCACTTTGGCTTTAAATGCTATTAGAGAAGAAGAATTTATTTTTTAAAAAGTTTTCCCAAGTACAGCTTATTGTAAAACATGGCTGTATTTGTATGCCCCTCTAGGGATAATTTAGGGGAACACATTCGGTTCTTACATTGACCTTGGCTTTCTTACTCAGTTCTTATATTGACCTTGGCTTTCTCACTCAGTTCTTATATTGACCTTGGCTTTCTCAACCTTGGCTTTCCCTAACAATCAAATTCTATAGTTCACTATATTTTATTATCATTCAATTTCTATAAAATACTTGATTCTCATTGGATAAAAAATTGTTTTGATAACTGCATCAATAAAATCTAGAGTTCGCTTGCACTAAGCATCCCGAACTACTTTGGCTGTCTTTAGTCTTTAAACATGTATACTTCCCGCTTTCAGATTACTTTTTGAAACCTGTCCGTCACGTTCCTGACTTATTTCATACTTTCGTTTCTTTTTGAATTATCCCCCTTTGCTAAAAAAACCCAAAATCATCTGCATGACAACAATACAGCTATGGGAAAGAATGAAGGAAATCAGCATACTTATGTTAAATGAACTGGTATGAACAATAGAACGGTGAAGAAATGTTTTCATGCTACTAAAGCTGGAAAAATGCCGTTAATGTGTTAATTTTTAGGAAACGAATGGTCGAGAAAAATGACACCGCATGAATGAGGACAGAATTCTTTACAGTCGGCAACAGACTCTTTCAGATTTTACAACATTGACAGGTTGTGGTACGTATTTATATGTTCGAATTGAAATTCAAATGAAAAGGAGCGAATAGGAAATCCAAAATTTCTGAGACCTTAGAACTGTTACGATATTTGAGTAGCTTCCCTTTACATTTACGAATATACCCACTGGGATTAAGCAAAATATAATAACACAACAGCTAAGTTTTTTGTGTTAAAGAACTGTAAATTATTGTTTGAGAAGGTTGGTAATGCCACGACAATATTTGAGAACTTGTTTTTTCATTAGGCTTAGGAAGAAGGCTAAGCCATTTTAAATTTCAGCAACGTTAACGTTGTTGTGATATATTCATACGCACTGTTTTTGTTGCGTAAATTTCATAGTTATGTGAAAGAAAGTTTCATTTTATTAATTTTAAATGATAAGAAATGAATGTAATACTTTTTTCTTTGATACTTCGATCAAAGAAAAAATTTGAACGGAAAACGTTTTCATCAATGCGCTGACGTTTTCCGTCCAATTTTTTTCTTTGATACTTCGATCAAAGAAACAAATATTACATTCATTTCTTAAACAATTCACTATAATTTACTATAGGTTACTAAAGTTAATCAAAGTTTTAAAGTTATCACTAGAGTAAATGAAAGTTTTCAAAGTGATCACTGTAGTGTCAAAGTGTATACAATAGTTTATAAAAGTTTTCAAAGTGATCACTATATTTAATCAACGTTTTTACCGTAGTAAATCAAAGTTATCATAGTGATCACTATGGTAAATCAAAGTTTTTATAGTTATCACTTTAGTAAATCAAAGTGTCAAAGTAATCACTAAAGTAAATCAAAGTGTCAAAATTATCACCATACGAAATCAAAGTTTTCATAGTGTCAAAGTTATCACTATACAGTAGTTAGGTATGGAAAACAGTCATTCAGCTATGCAGCTGCTACGCTGTGGAATTCTCTACCAAATCATGCTAGGGAACTTTCCACCCTCAGCCAATTTAAAACTTTCATAGAGACATGGACGGGGGAAAAATGCAAATGCAGTTCCTGCAGAAACCACGGCGTGGGGCTGCATAGCTGATGAGACAATGTTTAGAAACAGTTGAATTTTTATTTATTTTTGAAATCTTTCATTTTCTCTAATGATATCACCTATCTCATTTTATTTCATTGTTTTCTAGTTTGGTTTTTTTTTTTGTTTTTTTTTTGTTTTTTTGTTTTGTTTTTTTTTTTCCCTTTAACCTCACAATATGCATATCTTGCCTATGTAGGTAGGGACTGACCCAATCACTAGGCAGGATGTGTACTGATGAGGAACATAAATTACTTAAAAATTATTATTATTATTATTATTTATTTTTATTTTTCATTCTTTCCTTCCTTCTCAATTTGGTTTAGCTATGTCTGTGTGAATTTTAAATTTCCTAAACTTTCAAATTTGTTCAATTATCGGGTTTTATTTATTTATTTATTTTTTAATATTATTAATAATACAATTAGTTATTTTTATCTGAATTTATGAATTAAACTTAGTGCTTAATTTTATTACATGTACTATCATATGACTTTTATTTATTTATTTATAATACTCACGTTATATTTATTTTTGTTTCTCTTAATGCAATCATATTGCTTTTCAAGTTGACTATTTTTCTTTAACTTATTCTAAAGAAACTATAAATTCTTAAAATTTGTTTAATTCTTAAAATTCATTTTATCTGTCATAATTTTTGTATGTGTATATATGTACATGTGTTTTTGCATGATAATTTATGTGTAAACGTCTTTCTGTGATATTTTAACTGTGATAGTCGGTTGAAGAGCTCTACAGAGCTCATGTTTATTGTTATGTATGTATACAAATGCCGACTTTAAATAAAATTTACTTACTTACTTATCAAAGTAAACTATACATGTAGTTAACTTTAGTATTTCTGTTAAAGTTATGACGACGTTAGCTTTCTCATTTGGTTCCAGTTACCACGGCCTTGGCTTTTTCACTCATCTCTTGCAAAGACCTTTGCTCCCACCGACCCAATATTAAAAAAAAAATATATTTATACGAAATTATAAAAATGTAAATTTTAAACACTAGTCTAAATAAATTTCCAACTAAATTATAACATACCATATTTTGCAAAGCAGAAATCCTCCTGGTCTACTTCTGGAATCCAACTGCAACCAAGGGCAACAGAAACAATAACCCCGATGACAAAGACTTTGACCAACTGCAACGCCATTTTGAATGGTAACCGTAAGGAAATTTGAGCGACGTGTAGTTTATTTTAGGTATTTATACGGATTTCATACATCCCACTGGCGGTAATTTGAATTGATGTTGTGGTGAATTATCATTCATTACCTTTACGGCGAATATTACTCTATTTTACAAGATTATTTATTATTTATTTTTAATAATGAAAAACTCGTGGAATATAATGTTGAAACATATGGTGAATTGTTCCTCGTGGGCCGAATGTAGTTTGTTATACTCGTGATTTTTACTATTGCACGTTGTTAAACGACTCTTATGATACAATTATATAGAAAAAATTGTATGCTTTATTGCGTAAAAATTTATTGCCATGTATTAAACATGTTTAAGTTCAGTTTTGGTGATAAATATTTATGTCATGTGAACGTTTATGTGGTTGTTATTTTTTATTTATTTTCACGCAATTTTGCGCCAAAAATATAAAATGCGTTGTATTTCGCAATTTCGAATCAAAAAAAAAATACTTTGACTTAACGGAAATGATTCTCGCTTTGCTTTAGCATGTTTGTTAAAAGAACTTAAGGACAAAAGAAACAAATGAAAATGAAAGTGGGGCTCATGTTGTGAAAATTGCCCCAACTTGTTGAAAAAAAAAACAAAAAAAACAAGAGGCCTATGGGCCTTACAGGTCACTGATCATAATAAAACAAATTTCCAACTATTGAATTTGGTTCACATTCTCAATTTTGAAAAAGGCACCATTACTAATCATAAAAATACACTTAGCATGCTTAGTTTGGTTAATACTTATAGGCAGAGTAGTAATCAGTAATATTCAGCAATAATAAATAGTCCCTCGCCCCAAAAGATCCCTGGGTTCACACATATCACGATTTTGGAAAAGACACCCTTGCTCATCATAAATGTTTGATTAATACCAAGGAGCTTCAAAATATTTATTCATTTTCAGCATATTGTACCTGACCGACTAATAACCAAGTCCACTCAAACTTAGTATATGTCAACTCGTGACCAAATCTAGAAGTCAACTGTTAAACCTTTGCGGTTTTAGTTAGGTTGTACCCTTTCATGTACTGTCCTGTATATTGCAATTGTCCTTAAGGCTTTAAATAGATGGCGAAATGTTTGAATTCAACAATACATTAGTTTCTTCTAAAGATTCTTGTTCTTCTTTGGCCAACATACTATGGTTTAAAAAAGATTCATCTCAGCATACAAAATCTTTTAATTTACCGATTCTTGCATTAAAACCATCAAACAAATATTTTCTGAAGTCTTAGAAAAATTTATCAGTTCTCATTCAATGTTAGTGGAACTATAAACTGATGTGTATCTAGTGGTTTCTGGAAGTATATACGTGATCTCAAACAATATTATCTGAATGTAAATCAACAATTTCTTGATAACATAAAACAAAATACATATTCACAGTTTGTGGTTTTAACATCAAAATATTTAACTAAGTTTTCTCTCACACACAAGGAAAATTCCTCCTGAATTAACTTTCCATACCCAGTCTATTCTTCATACATACAACAAAACATGGGATATTCATGATATCAGTTTTTAAATCAGTAAAGCATAAAACATCGTATTTACAAACAATTTTAGAAATATCATGATACTTTAATTTTTTTCATAGTCCACCAGACATGTATAGAAAGGAATTTCAATGCCCGTACAACCTGGTCCCCTCATGCCCGTACAGCTGATCTGGTGTTGATCCGTGGCTTGGTCTTTTCGTCGGTTGCAAGGGCAAGGGATCTGCTGGGACTCTCGAGGTCGCATCGCTGGCTACACTTGCTACAGCGCAACGGTAGGATCGTCGCTCCGGTTGAGTAGTACGTTGTATCTCTATCCGGATTGTAAAATTCAAATTTGATATAGAATCGGTCTTCGACTAGCTTTAAATGCATTCTGTCTTTTTTTCTTTTGCCTGTTGCATGATGAGATTTAGTTTCTTTCTCCGTTCCCCGATTTTTGAAGGAACTGTTTTTAAACCAACACGTAAGATTTGCTGAGTTTCTGCGGGGGGCGTACGTATACTTTACCTCTCCTTAAAGAAAGTGAAGTTGGCAACGATGTTTCTTGGTTATTCATAATATTCGTTCCATTTTCCTATGCGGTGAACTCTTTCATAGGAGATGTCATAGTGTAGTCGAAATAATTTTCTCTTGATATATTGTTTTAAAACGGCCTCTGTATACCTCCCCCTCCTAAGATATCCCCGTAAACACAAGATTGTCCCTCATGGACCGGGTCTTCAAACCAGTGACATTTTCTTGCAGAATTGCGTTGATTTCCTTCATTTCACTAAGCTCTTTCTGTTCATTAGAATCGGAAATTTTGTTCTCCTATTACAATTTGTTATACTAGTCTGACCAGAAGCGAAGTCAATAATTAACAAACCATCCATTCTGTAATTGTATGACATCTGTCACTGATAGAGTTAGGCAGTTACTGGTGTGGTTCTTGACCCCTACCACTTATTTTAGACTAAATGTTTTGAATTCGACTTGTTAAATGCATCGTACAATAGATTTGTTGACCAATAGGCAATACATGTACATGGTGTATTGTCTTTAGTTTTATATAAGTAAGATTCTTATGAAAAGAAAAATTTAAATTGTCAATTTCAGACTTTTCGTTAAAATAAAAAGCCTATGGCCAGTAACATCTTTTTATTTTCTTGAGTCTTTCACATTTTTTCTAAAAAAAAAAAAAAGAAAAGAAATGATATTCTATAGTATAGAATATGTCATCGAATTTAATGTACGATGTAGTTAAGATATATAAACATCATATGCATTTCCATCCTCCTTGAGTAATATTATATGCAATGTACGAGATAGCTCCTCTTTATAATTATATCCACAATACTTTTGAAAATTTAAGCAAAAGAAAAAACAAAATCAAAATAAAAAAAAAAATTCTCAAAAGAATATATGAGTGCTTGGACACATTTAATATTCATAATAATGATCATGATTACAAATAAACACATCGTCTTGATTTAGTAACATTCTCCTAGGTTACCCCACGTGCAGACACCCGCCTCATTTCTCCAAAAGTAGGCACTCTTTGGCAGTATATCTCAGGGACATTACACTCGTTCCGAGTTGGCGGGGGTAGTTCAACTGACTTCTTCAACTTAATTCTTTCTAAATTCAATTTTATCTGTAAAATAAAGACACACAACAATCACTGTTTTAATTTTTAAAGTTTAGAACATACTTAAAAGGATTGAATGTATATGACTTTCATTTTTATTTTCATTGTTTATGTTGTCCTTGAATTAGATTTACTAATCCTCTTTCAGAAACATTTTTTAAACAATCACTCATATAATTTTAACACATTAATCTAAATTGTACATGTTAATCAAATAGTGTAACATTTTGAACCATTTCGAGCTATAAGGCTTTTGGACAAACAAAAAGCTAAAAGCTGCTATTAAAAAGATGGACGTTTTAAATACGAGGCATTCAAAATATTTTTTAAGGAAGCGCCAAACAGTGCACATTATTAAGAGTTTTGAGGGCAATTTAAGGGTAGTTTTGTGCTATTAGAGTGATCTGTCTTTATAAGTGTGATAGAGAAAAAATAAGTTATTTACAGTTGATTACAAAATTTATAATTCAAGTAGACTAAAATATGCTAAGAATTGTATTAGATAAGAATAAGTAATTGAATTCATGAATTTCCATTAAAATTCCGTATGTAAGTAAACAACAGTGTTTTTGTTCCAGCATAGTCCATTGTCTTTAAACTTTTTTTTTACATTTTTCCTGCAGAATTAAGGCAGGTACTATACTCTGAAAATGAATTAATTTGTCTCAATATCGATACCTTTATAAGATATATTTCTCTCCAAGTCCCAAAAGCACATTTTTTGGTAGTGTTTAGAGCTTCCTTAAACAGGACTATGAATAATTCAATCGGCAATCCTCGGCTGAGTCCGCAATATCACCGGATGTAATGTTGTTGCTGTTGTACATGTACTCGGAGATATCCAGCTTTCCATCGTCGCGAACAACAGCTATAAAAAATAGGCTACTAATCATTCAAAGAAAATTACATAAGAGCATTACAATTTTTTTTTAAATTAAGAACGTTATAAAATTCATTTTTAACAAGATAAAGCTATATGTACAACAATTACAGAAAATGAAAGTTATATAAATGTTTAAGAGTTAAATCAAATTTGAAAATTTTTATTTCTTAAAAAGTAAATTATAGTAAGACTCTCTATACTAATAAAAAAAACAGACTTAAGATTTTTCATTCGTATTTATCGGACGTATGTAAACTTGAAGATTTTTTATTTTCTAATTAATATCCGTAGATTAGGTAAGCTCAAGTTAATCTGGAAGCTTTCTTGAAGATTTTTTTCTTATCCTTTATAAGAAATTACCGTAAATAAGGTAAGGCTTCCCGATCTAATAAATAAATTTCTGTTTTTATCACGGACCTAAGATTGTTTTAGATTATTAACGCTAGATTACGGTAGATTTGCCGAATATGATAAATTACTTTTGACGGATGTCACTCTTTAAAAAGTAACAATTGTTAATTAGTTAAATCTCCCAATCTATTAAATAACTTACATGTACTTATTCTTAACTATCTAATTTGTTTTCTTTAACTGTACGTGTAATTATAATACATTGCATATTAAGAAAGAAATCAGATTTAATCAATAACGTACATGTACATTTGTTTCATCTCTAAAATTAGTTACCGTAAATTAGATAAATTTTTCTAATTGAAGTAATAACATATTATAGACATCCTTTTTTCTTTAAATTTTAAAAAATTAGCGAAACCAGGTAAGACTCCCTTTTTATTAGATTACTTAAAATTAGGGATCACATACCGAATAAAGTACGTACCTATTTATCACAGAAATCATACTTTTCTTTACAAGTTATTACCGTAAATGATGTAAGACTCTCTTATGTATTAAGTTGCATGCTCAGTACAGAAGTCATACATAGTAAATTAAGTAAATTCCTAGATCTAAAACTAGTATTTTTTCCATTTTTCTTTAAATTTTGTCACCGTAAACTAGTTGAGACTCCCTTGTTTCTTTAATACAGAAGTCACTCTTTTCTTTACAAATATTTATCGTTAATTACATGTAGTAAGATTTTCTTATCTATTTTACTTACTTGATTCAGAAGTTATACAAAGTAATTATCGCAAATAAGGTAAGTTTCCTCGATCTAATAAATTATTGCCTGGTCGTAGAAAATTCTATGGTAAAAATAAAAAAAAAACAATTGAATGAATGAAATCTTACCATAACATTGAACATATATAAAAAGTTCAAGGAACTCATGAAAATACTTTATATTTGTATAGGAATTGTAATTATTCAGTAAATATATTGATTTCATGGAAACGGAACGAAAATTTGAATAATAATGCCCGTTTGTCTGTCTGTAAATTCAAATGTTTGTCTTAATTTATTTTTATTTAAACTTTAAAGGTTTTATGAAAATGTACACGTTATTCTTTACATTCAATTACGTAATATTAAGTATACTATAGTATATATAATGTAAGGCAAAATAAAAACAGACCAATACCATCCAAAACCCACTCCCGCCCCACACTACCCTATCTAAAAAAGGAACGTTACATGACAGACAACAAAGTATTTAAAGTCTTAATATTTTTTTTATTTCTCTGTATAAATTGGCCAAATTTTTAATCATTGAATCTTGTCTATGATATGAAAATTACGGATAATCTGATGAACTATCGAATAAGCGTTTACTCATAAATTCAGCAGGTTATGTAAAGATTTACAGATTTAGATATGTAAAAAAAAAGGTGAAATTCTTTGAAAAGGGATGGAGTTCAAATTAATGACGTCATGTTTTTACTAGATCTGTAATTTCTATTCATTAGTTTACATGTATATGTTTGTTCTTTGCAAGAATAAGTTTAATTTGAAAGCTATTCGGTAGAAACTTTGTAAAAGAGCTTAAAGTGATTAATGATAGGCGATCCTTTAACAGAAACTTAAGGAGGATAGATGGTAAATAGAACGGTACAAAATGTTCCTCACGTCGCAATTTTAATATTAAATACAGGTCGTGCATTGTATCTTTGAATTTAAAAAAAAAATGCCTGATTGCTTGAATAATCTTTGTCATTTCATTAGAAATCCTGAAAATAACGTTTTCTTAGAAACCCATTGTTGTTTCTGTCGTGAATTAGAGCTAGAATATAATCGGAAACTTAAAATTTGACAATTAAAGGCTTTCTTATGACACAACAAACCACATCAGTATTTTCCAAGGCAAAAAACTAAGAGGATTGCTTTACGGTTCTGTTCGATTTATATCTACCTTTGAGGTATGTGTTTTCAAAAGAAAATTTTAAGTAATGTAAGCACTGAGCTGATACAATATGATACCCTTCATTATAAAGCATTATAAAAGCAAAGATCAATATTTAGCGGTTTGTAAACCTATTTCATTCTATATTGTCAACCAATTATTATTATATAAAATGGATTATAAATGTACGAAACAAGATATATATTTAAATTATCAATGAATGTAATGTGCACTTAGAATAGGTCGACAGGCAGACAGGTCGACAGGTCGACAGTTAGAAAGGTAGAAAGGTCGAAACGTCGACAGGTTGACAGAAACCATTTCTATCACAGGTTGACATCAATAGTACTGTGAAGTTTTAAAGTAAATTTGTTAATAGATACGCTTTTTGCATGACAAAATTGAGACTATTTTAGATGAATGTACTGACCGTCATAGGTTTGGATTGTTAAACGGAGAAAATAACATCAGGAACTTTAAATTGTTGTTGACAACAACTTAAGCTGTATCAAGACGAAACAATGTTATTGGTTTATCGAAACGCTAATTCAAATTTGCTTGAATTTGTAGCCCATGTATATTTCAACGTACAGTGAGAGAAAGATGTTCAGATGCTAATTATGTAGCGTCGTCAATGCCACTCATTTCTGCAAGTCCAAGCTTACCTGGGAATTGTTCAAAATTGTTTACTTGTTTTACAACAACAGGTTTTACAAGTGTTTTTCGCTGGTAACATATCTTATTGCTTGATTTTGTAATTTTGCGATACAATCATTCAAATTCAAGCACCTGTTTATCTCACGTACTGAGTTTTTATCCTTTATTATACACGTAGATATATAATTATCTTGAGTTATGAAAACAAATTTCGAGCTAACTGAACATTTACGAACTATGTGTATGAGTGCACTAACGGATTTTTTTTTTTATTGACATGCACACAGAAAAAATACATTTGTTATTTGTTTCTATGTAAAAGTTTAGCTTTGCATTAAAGAGAGATATGGAGATACCGAACAGTATTCAATATCAAAGTCCATAAAGCAATACAAAATAGGAGCAGATGAAACACTGACATCCGAAACATCAGAGGTGGGATCAGGTGCCATGGAAGAGTGAGCATCCTCTGCCGACCGGTCACACCTGCCGTGTCATGATCGAGAAATAACAGAAAAAGTCCGCCGTCAATTCAGTGTTTAAATAATGTTCTAACAATTAGAATGAAAAACGTCAGTATTTGACTCAATGATAAATTGTATTTATGGGGTCCAAACTGTACTTTCCATATTTAACAACTACTAAATTACTGATGATGAGAGGGGGTTCTAGATGTGCAAACGCAGTAAGATATTCCAAGGCAATATTAACATAAGGATATGGAGATGACGAACAGCATTCAGTCTCAAAGTCCATAAAACAATACAAAATAAGCGCAGAGCAAACACGGACCCCCGAAACATCAGAGGAGGGATCGGGTGCCATGGATGTGTGAGCATCCCCCGCCGACCGGACACACCCACCGCTTGCTCCCTGTCATGATCAGGAAATAACGGAAAAAATCCACCGCCAACTCATTTAACAAACAACACACCAACAACCGGCATTAAAAACGTCAGTCAGCACTTGACTCAATGACAAACTGCACCTACCGACAAGGCCATTGTATCGAATATTGAACCTACGAAATGACGACTTAAAACGAGACTGCCGACACTCCTGCCTCACCAACCTGCCTGTCAATAATCTACCTCGTTTTAGAAATTGTTCACACGCAGAGCACGCTCGTGCGCATCGAACCAACCGAGATATATATACTCTGCACGCAGGTGACGAAGGTATATTGCTGCACAAGCAAGGTATGTTGATGATAGAAAAATCAAAGCCATCACGCTTATCATATAGCTTGGTTGCAAGATTACCATTAGTGTCCTCCTCAAGTAAAACATCCAAGTATGAAACAGAAGTGTCGGATTCTATGGTATCTTTTATCTCAAGCTCTATGAAGGAATGGAAATTACCATTATTAATAGACAATACGTCGTCGATATACTGTAGATCACTAAATTTTCGCGACACCTTATTTTCGTGAGATGGTCATTGACTCTTGATAAGCGAGACAAAATTTTCACGAATTCTGGTTGTTGCTCTACATAATCTTAAGGAATACTATAATACACGAGAATTAAATTTTCGCGAGCACACTGCCTCGCGTAATTGCGCGAAAATAAAGATCTCGCGAATAAAAAGTGATTTACAGTATCTAAATGTCGAGTTGAAGGTCACAGCAAGCGTCCTCTTCTTTTCAGACATAAGATTTTGCATAAATTCTGCTTTATATGAATATAAAAATAAGTCTGCTAATAACGGAGGGCAATTTGTACCCATGGGAATTCCAACAGACCGTTTGAATACCTGGTCTCCAAAAACCACGTAGATATTGTCAATCAGAAACTCAAGCATCTTCTTGATGTCAAATTTAGAGTACTTATGTGTGCAATCAGAATCTGTTTTAACAAAACAATTTTGCAAATGACCAACGACGAGGCAAGCAAATCCATGAGTTCCATTTTTATTGAAGACAATATCACGTGGTGTGACAATGGCAGGAATTGTGTTCCATTTCTCATATCTAGTCTCTCTTTTAAACAACCTAGAGTAAAAATATAATTCCATTTTTTGTTACATGAAAACAGGGGGATATAAAAGAGAAATTAGCCACGGACACAATCTATGGTGAAGGTCCATTCTTCTCTTGTGGACCCCAGATATTAAATGTCAGCACCACCTACCTCATTTACGGTAAATTAAGTTCTCATGATTCAGTTTTTTTGTAGCATTTAAAGAAAAATGTTGTCATAAAGTTACTCAAGGAATGAAGAGTATTTTAATCTAAATATATTAAATACGATGTATCTTAAACGAGATTACATAACATTGAAATATTTTCGCTTCATAAACTGTTAAGTGTTATATTGGTTAAAAAAATCGTCATTCCTTAAAATCAAATTCAGTGTAGACAATTAAGCTTGCAATTTTTCCTACCAAACATGGATTCAAATTGAGCATATTTTTGAAACCCTAAGCGGAGTATTACATTTTTGATATACGTCATTGTGACTGTAAATGTAGGATATTTAGCGTGTACGATATTTGGCGGAAATTGATTTTTGAATTTCGTAGGTTTGTTTTAAAAAGCGCATTCCATCATTTTCTTATTTATGTGTATATGTGCAAGACATTTAGCATTGTGCTCGATTTAGCGGTTGCTACGTTCAACCAAAGCCGCTAACAAGAATACATAGCCAAATGTAATACTTTTACAGTATAAGACATAGCTTAAAGTTTTATGCCATCAAATGACGTGTTACAATGAAAATTAAATTATATACTCTTATCAAGCTTATTTCATCAATATCATTCTATTGTCATACAGATCACGTAACGGGCTTTCGAGGGCCAGGTATTTTTTAACGGCTGTACTTCCATACTAACAAACAAAGAAAGTATTGTATTGTTTAAAACTTCGTCACTTGATATATAAACGTCTATATCTAATACTGGGACTGTTTCTTTTAGCCAAAGAAAGAGATGGCAAGGTGAAAATTGAAAATTACAAACCCATGGATGGCGTCAGCGATGATGACATCAAACGAATGACGACAAAATATGACTGCAGTTGTAAAGTAAGTTTTGATCCTGCTCATATATATAATTCTTGAAATAATTGATTCGATGATGTCAGCGACGACGACATTAAATGAATGACGACAAATTATGACTGTACTTGTAAAGTAAGTTTTGATCCGCGTCATATATATAACTCTTAAAATGTACCTTATAGAATACAGTTGAATTCTGATATCTCGTACGCCAGTATCTTGAATTCAACAGATACTGTAAAAGTACTTTTTTCCGCGTGGTATTAATTAACGCTATGTACGCGGTCACTCATTTTCCGCGGAAATTTGTCCAAGCGTGCTTATAAATATTAGGCATATAGTGACAGTCTCAGAAATCCGAGTAATTTTCTACCCGCGGATTAAACAGAAATTGAGATTCCGCGGAAATATGTCCCCGTGGAAAAAAGTACGTCTACAGTATGTTGAAGTACCAGCCATTTATTTTTTTTTTGTATTTTAAGTCCTTTAGATAATATTTGACTGTATCCTTTTTTTGTTTTGTTTGTTCTTGTTTTTGTTGTTGTTGTTGTTGTTTTTGTTTTGTTTATTTTTTTGTTTTTAAAATGATTTTTCACAGCGCAATCCGAAAACTTTTGTTCTACATTGTCTAATGACCGAATAAATGTCTTTTTCTCATAAGCAAAAATTATAACCGCAGATTTGTTTCAGTTTACATAATAGTTTAGGAAGCTTTGAATGCAGCTCAAAGAAAAGTTCCCAGAACTGAGGAAACTACTGGTATAGTGATTTCAGTTCACTAAAAATTCATAATCTGTAAAGTTCTTTCCAAGAGAAACGCTAATGACGGATGCCCGTTACATGTATTGAAAATGAATATATGTAAACTAATGTGTATATGCTAGTCAAAAAGTAACGTCAATTAAATTTTCTAACGTCATTTTATATAACGTCATTTTAACGCTACCGAAGTTGACCCCAAAACCGTGTACATTAATATAATTGTATTCACCTAAAATTGTTTCGTTTGTTTGGAATAACAACTAGCCTACCTAAACAGTAAACAAGAGTTCTGACATACAGGGCGATAGACTTGACATTTTAACAGGAGTACCTCTACTATTCAGAGTCATTATAACTATTTTGTGAAGTCCTGACAAAGCTTGTAACTTATTTTCAATGCTGATCGAGGTCAAATATAATACCTTCCTTATTTCAGGTACCTCGATCCTCAGGTTCTGAAAATCAAGCATTGACTAATTGAAAATGCTCACAAAGATGTCTCTGAATTTTCAAAACAACATGTTTTTACCCATAATAATTCTTCAAACTTCATCGTTTAAGTTAATCATATTATATGGAGAAAATAGTAAATCTCAAATATATTTTCAGGAATTGCAAATAAAAACACCTTTACTTCGATTATTTTACAATGAAAAGTGTACAAAGATTCTCCTGTAATTGCAAATTAAGCTCCATAATTCTCTTCTAATTTCATATTATGTTTATAAACATTGGTATCTATGGTAAGATTAACATGAACATCAATTTCTTGATATATGTAATTTTAAAATTTTTTACGGGATGAAAATTGCGACTTTTAATTAGACCTTTCTGAGAACCTCAAAGAACGTAGAAGGTCTATAATGAAAATTGTTGCATGAAAAGATTTAATTTTCAAGCTTCATTTTGAGACTTTTTGAATTAAATTACAAATTATAGGGTTGTCCTTCCTAGCTAATTAAGGATCGTAGTCCCTTAATCACAATTTTCTTCACACTCAAAATGATCTATAACAATTATACATGTTTTTTAAAGCTTTCAATTCATGTGTGTGTTATAAATAATTTTTCTTCTCTTATTATTTGCAGATACGATTTAGTGACGCCCAGTTAATAGGCGCTCCGGATGGTCTGATACTCCCGGAGGCCAATGAAAATGAGTGTAATGTCCCTAATAAATGGTGTTACAGAAATGGTTTCTGTCAAAGAAATGATGAGGGCCGATGTACATGGGGAGAACTAGGATCCTGTAACTAAAAGAAAGTGTAATAAATTTGTGGTTTTCTTATATAAAAAACTATCAGATTATGCCGTTAGAAATAGAGTTCGGCAAAATTTTGCATAAAAGAGGTCTTATATATCTTTAACAATTTTTGACAATTTAAAAAGCGTCAATATTGCATAAAAACATTTTCCATTGTTCTATTAGAACCATTTGATAAATTGCAAATAAAACAACACTTTTCTGTGTTCATCAAAGGCTTATAACCTTCACCATTAAGTCAACTGACTGGACACTGAAAGGTCTGGAAAAGTCACAGAGGGGCTTAGATCTGTCATTCAGTAACATTTCAGTAAACTTTCAGTGATCTTTCGTTTAAACTGAAGAGAGACTCTTTATTTGTATAGTTGTGTTCAAAAGTTGTGTACATGATTCCTATAGCTTTGTTCAAAATGTAGGTTCTAAAAATATGCATGACTGCTTTTTCTGTGGGCTTAATTGCTCCTCTCATTGATTATAAGAAGCAGTTATGAATTTAAAGCTTTCATAAACAGTTAGATAATGTTAACAAAAAGGATGCAGTATAGTACGTGTAACAAGTTGCTTATCATAGAACGGCTTAATATGATTGGTTGAAAGATATGAAAAAGAATTTAAAACATTGTGACCATTTCTGAAAGACGCTACTATAGTCAGCACCCTATTTGTTTTTGTTACCAGGTATTTGTCAAGGCTTACTAAAGGAGTAATAAATTGAGTGTAATTTGTGAATCCTGCTACCAGCAAATTCATAATTGACAAATTTTCCTTTTCCCTTCTGTTACGAATCTGTCCAGAAGCATATTCATTAATTAACAATTGCAAACTCGTCCATCTGTTACTGTATTAAAATCTGTCACTATTAGAGACAGGTACTGGTTTGATTAATGACCAAAAACCATAAAATTCGTATTATTAAATTCAAAACACAACAATAGATTTTTTTTTACCAATAGGTGGTGTATTGACACTAGTTTTATAAACATATAATTCACAGAAAGTATATTTAAAAAAAATTAGAAATGTCGATTAAGAAAAAATACACATATAATTTTTTACCTCACCTGAGCCGAAGGCTCAAGTGATCTATTCTGATTAAAATTTCCCCGTCGTCTGTCGTTGTCGTTGTAAACTTTTCACATTTTCGACGTCTTCTCAAGAACCGCCGGACCAGTTTCAACCAAACTTGCTACAAAATATCCTTGGGTAAAGGGGATTCAAGTTTGCAAGTTTGTTCAAATAAAGGGCCAGGCCCTTTTTCAAGGGGAGATAATTATGAATTAGAGAAAAATTAATGACATTTAAAAAAAAATTCTTCTCAAGAACCACTGGGTCAGGAAAGATAGAAACTCATGGGGAATCATCCTCAGGTAGTGTAAAGTCAAGATTGTTCAAATCATGACCCCCTGGGGTAGGGTGGGGCCAAAATGGCAAACCAAAGTTTTAATTAGGAATATATAGGAAAATTCTTTTAAAAACTTCTTCTCAAGAACCACTGGTCCAAGAAAGACAAAACTCACGTGGGTTCATCCTCAGGTAGTTTAGATTCAAGTTTGTTCAAATCCTGACCACCGGGGGTAGGGTGGGGCTAAAATGACCGATCAAAGTTTTACATAGGAATATATTGGAATTTTTTTTAAAAATCTTCTTCTTAAGAACCACTTGGCCAGGAAAGATGAAACTCGTGGAATCAAGTTTTACATAGGAATATATGAAAAAAAATCTTCTTCTCAAGAATCACTGAGACAGGAAAGATGAAACTGCTGTGGAATCATCCCCAGGTAGTGTAGATTTAAGTTTGTTCAAATCATGACCCCCAGGGATAGGGTGGGGCCAAATGGCCGATAAAAGTTTTACATAGAAATATATAGGGAAACCTTTTAAAATCTTCTTTTCAAGTACTTCAAAGCCATGCTTAGTGACATTTATAAGGAATCATCCTCAAGTAGTGTAGATTCTCGTTTGTTCAAATCATGACCGCCTAGGATGTTAAAATTAAAGCCCCCCCTCCCCCCTCACCCACCCTCTCAGTAAACTTTCAGTTCTAATCTGAAATGTGCTTTTTCTTAGCCAATTGCTCAGGTGAGCGATGTGGCCCCTGGACCTCTTGTTTATATTTTTAGTTTATATAGAAATTTGACTTTACTGTGTAAAATAAATAAGAAGGAACGTTAAAAAAATGGTTAACTGTAAGCTTCCTTGTAAATAATATTTGGGATTGTTGAAAGCTCTGTAACATCCATTTATAATGCTGAAACTTTTTAAAAATAATCTTCTATATTTACATTTGCCAATGTCTTTCCTTATATGACAATACTAAAAAAATGAAATTCAATTTTCGAATGCAGTCGGTCACATGATCAGACTTTCTTGCGTATGGAAAGCAAACTGCACGTGCAATTTGGAAAGTTCCGACTGTGACGTCACATAACGTCGTAGTAACGTTACGTTGCATTTCAAAATCTAAGTCTTAATAATGCCTATATTTGTTTGTAAAATGAATGAAAACGTAAAATATAAATAAAAGAAATAAAATATCATTTTTTAGAGTTTCATTGGGGTATGACATGAAGTCGGTACGTGATCAAATCTACTATAACGCCCTTCGGGCGTTATACAATTTGATCACGTGACCGACTTCATGTCATACCCCAATGCATCTCTAAAAATGATATCTTATTTCTTAAATAAAACGCATTGAATTTGTGGTACAATGTAGTTGAGATATATAAGCACCATAAGTATTTTTATTCTCCTAGAATATACACAGCGTATGTGAAGTAAAAGATAGTTATAACTGTATCCACAACACTTTTGTTTTCCCTTAAAAACCCAATTTAAATTTAGAATTTAAAAATGATAATTAAAACACGTTCAAAATAAAGATTCTATATAAAATATATGAATGCTTGGACACATTTAATATTGATAATAATGATTCATGATTACAAATAAACATATCGTCTTGATTTAGTAACATTCTCCTAGGTTACCCCACGTGCAGAATCCCGTCTCGTTTCTCCGGCAGAAGGCGCTACAGTTAATGTCGGAGACATTACACTCGTCTTGAGTAGGCGGGGGAAGTTCAACTGACGCGCCCGACAAAATTTTGTCATAATTCCATTTTATCTGCAAAAATCAATACATACAACAATCACTATTTTGATTTATGAAGTTTATATTACGTATCTATAAAAATTGAATATTTTTCTTTTTTTTTAAATAAATCGTTATGGTCACCTCTTTCTAAATTACTTTTCATTCATGAAAATCTTTTAAAAACATTTTAAAGACATTTCAGCAAAACCAAAAGGTATATTAAGTACTGATTTTGACCAGTTCGAGCTACAAGGCTTTTGAACATATACAAAAGAGCTCGGTTCACTTTATGCATAAAATGGCCCTGTTGATATACCAATTGATTGATTAACACTTGATTTTCCATTTGAAGTATTAAAATAAAATAGAGACTTTGTGCTTTCATTTCCTATTAAAAATTTTCTCCTAAGAGTCCAGGTCGTGGAGAACTGGCGTAATAAAATTGCAATGTTCTTGAATTTTCGGGTAAACAGGTATAATTGAGTACTTTCAATGAAGAAAAATAATATCAGCGCACTCTCTGATCTAAAAAATAAAACCTGTCTTTTAATCCCCAGAGATAGTTCTATCATTTAATAGTTACACAATTTAGATCAGAGGTTGCGCTCTATATCGAATTTCGAAAAATAGCTTTTCGTGACGTCATAATGCATTGACTAACCAGAAAATTACGTCATTTTTTATAGACACGCAGTCACCAAAGTTCTAAGTGATATTTCAATGCATTGTTAACTAAAACTATGCAGTTTCAGTTCTTCAGAAATTCACAGGGCCAAATAAGGCAAAAGTGAACCTTGTTCTTTGACAATGGTAAAAGCTCCTGTTAAAAGCTAGAAATTTTAAACAAAAAGCATTCAAATATTTTTTAAATACTTGTCTATGAAAATTACCTTGCAGCCACAGTCATACTTTGTTCTCATTCTCTCTATATCACTGGGTTTAACGTAGTCCATGCTTCTGTATTCGGCGATATAGAGCTCTCCGTTGTCGCCAACACCAGCTATAAAATACGTGTAGATTGCTAGATTACTGTAAAATCACATATTTTCGTGGGGTCAAAATTTCGAAGTTAGGGTAAATATTGTTTAATGGGATTTTAATAAAGGTCGTAAAATGTGTAGTGGTCATACATGTGAAATTTCATATTTCCTGGTGGTAATATATTCGTGAGTCTTTCCAAACCTCGAAAACGAGGAAAATTAGATTCCTATGAAAATTGGTGATTTCACAGTATTTATTGATCAATTGATTGCATACTGTTTAACGTCCCTCTCCAGAATATTTTACTGATATGAAGACGTCACCATTGCCGGTGAAGGGCAGCAAATTTAGGCCTATGCTCCGCACTTACGGCCTTTTAGCAGGGAGGGATCTTTTTCGTGCCACACCTGCTGTGACACGGGGCCTCGGTTTATACGGTCTCATCCGAAGTACCGCCCATTTAGTCGCCTTTTACGACAAGCAAGGGGGTACTAAGGAACTATTCTAACCCGGATCCCCACGGGGCTCACAGTATTGAAGATGAAACTGTTTAATTAGATTCTGACATGCATATTATTATTAATCATAACATAGCTAGGTTACTAGTAATTTTTTTTTCACTGTTAATGATGTAACTAATTCTAGTTTTTCATTATATTTATCTATGTTTTGAAATTAGAAAAAAAATAACAATGTCTAAGAATTATATCAAATCTGTTAGATATTTCTTTTTTCTTTTAAAAGTGAATAAGGTTAGACTCCCAAGGTAATAAATAACATTTTATTTATGACACACCTAAGATTTTTCTCCTTATTTGTAAATGTAATTACCATAAAAAGGGGAGACTTCCATATCTAATAAATTAATTCTAACAGACGTCATTTTTTTCTAAATATTTAACATTAGTTACTTAATACAGATGTCAGGTATTTTCATTCATATCATAAATAAGATCAGACTCCTCGATCTGATCTTACATACTTTTATTATCAGTATTGGTTTTGTACATTGACCTTAATGTAGGGAGAGGGCTAAAATAGGCTGCGCCTACTTATTACATACTTCACTATTTCTTTATGAGTGCTTACCGTAAATCAAGTAATCCTCCCCGATAGTTAGATTCTGTGGTCCACAGGACATCATTGGCCCATGTCCAGTAACTGTGTCAAAATTACCCACTGCTTTATTTGTTTCCTACACAGCATAAACAGTGATTAATTTTTGTTCATAAAAAAATTCATAGAATCAATTTTTATTAAAGAACTATAATATACCGCATATAGTTCTTTAATAAATATCGATACACATGTATATATTTGCCCCCCACAAAAGTCAAATTTTGAAAACTTCCTGAAATGTGCTTAATTAAATTAATTATATGAGAAATTGAATTAACAGAACATATTATTATTTCAAAGTAGTTAATCTCAATTTTTGTTTTTATGACGTCAAAATCTAGTCCAATTTTTAATCTTTTTTTCAGAAAGAGGACAAAATGGACAAAATTTCAACAATTTTAGCTTTAAAATTCATAGAGCGCAAGTTTGCTCAGGAACAATATTTAAATATTTTATTGATATTATCATTCTACACATGATATCAAAATATTGAGCCTGAACACACATGCGCTCGGTGACTTTTACTCAACATATCGACGAAATATGTACATTTTTCTGTAGAATTCCTAAAAAACTGAAATTTACGTCATGTTTGTGACGTCATTTCGTACATATGACGTCATTACTTATGGAAATATTCAGTGCATTGATGTCAGCATATACCCCTCTTTTTAAGAACATAATTAAATATTTCTCCATCAAAGTTTTGTTTGGGGGGCAATTATCGGTTATTACCGAATAAAGTTCTTTCGATGAGGAGAAAGGACAGTTTTGTCTAAAATTTCGCCTGAATATCTACGTCAGTGTTAACTTACTCAAAAATATATATATTTACTAAATTAACAAGGGTGAACTTTAACGGTAACAAACAACAATCGAGCTCAAAGTTACACTGATCGAAACAATAATAAAAAAAATGCAGCAAGTTACGTTCGCCTGAGTATCAGACACCACTGAGGAGTATCCACTATCTGTTTTTATTATGATCACCATTCAGGTAATGTTAAACATTAGATATTTCTAGATGTTTACCTTCTATTACATGGATTGTAGGACGTTTACGTACATACCTTGTAATTCTCTTTCATATGGATTGTAGGATTTTGACATGCTTTGTAGTCCAATATTATACGGAAACATTTTTATCCTTTGTAACCTTCCATTATATGGATTGTAGGACGCTTATATACCTTGTAATTCTCTATTATAATTTCAATATTGTATAAATTATAAGACGTTTATATACCTAGTAATTCTCTATTATAATTTCAATATTGTATGGATTGTAAGACGTTTATATACCTTGTAATTCTCTATTATATAGAGAATATTACATACTAAATTCAATATCATATGTCATATCAGCCCGAGGGCCGGAAGCCCGTCCGTCCAGAGGGCTGATATGGGGCCAGAGGGCTGATGTGACATATGATATGGATTTTAGTATGTAGTATTCTATTTATCATATATTTAAAACACCTAATATGCAAGTTCACATATGGTCATTGATGAATATTTCGTGCTTGTTTGTGACATTTTTCTTTAAAATCTTATAAAGCTTATTTTAGGTAACTGAAAAAAATTAAGACCATATTTGTCATCAAAAATGATTTATTATAAATATTAAAATAAAATCAAGTAGATTGATTTTTAAACGTTATTCAAACGTTACTTCCAGTTTGATATGGATTTTCGGCCCGCCGGTCCGATACGTGATATGGATTTTTGGACCGGTCCGAGATATGGGGTATTGTGACGTCACCCGTATCACACCGTGCAGAATTGGTGTATTTACTACTAAGAATATGATAAAAATTTCAATATTGCATGGATTGTAAGACGTTTACATACCGTGTAAATCTCTAATATAATTTCAATATTGCATAAATTGTAAGACGTTTATATACCAAGTAATTCTCTATTATTTTTTCAATATTGCATGGATTGTAAAACGTTTATATGCCTTGTAATTCTCCATTATAAATCTCTATAATATGGATTGTAGGACTTTTATATATCTAGTAATTCTCTATTATATGGATTGTAGGTCTCATGCTTTGTAGTACAACATAATATGGATTATAGAACATTTTTCCCTGTCCATAATCATCTATTTTGTGGATTGTATGACGTTTGTATTCCTTGTAATCCTCTATTTAGTGGATTGTGGACGTTTATATACGTATACATTATCATCTATTTTGAAGATTGTATGACGTTCATATTCCTTGTAATCCTCTATAATGTGGATTATAGGATGTTTATTTACTATGTTTTCCTTTGGTTTGTGGATTGTAGGACGTTTATATTACTTGCCTTGTTATCTCCTTGTATGTTGATTTTCGAGCATTAACATATTTTTTAATTCTCTGGTATATGAACTGTAGGACGTTTGCTAACCTTGTTATATTCTTGTTCATGGATTGTTGGATGTTTACGTAAAATGTACCTTGTTAAATACTACTATATGGATTGCCTGCACGGACGTTTACATAACTAGCGATCCTCTGGCTTTTAAAATGTATGGCGTTTACTTACTTTGTTATTCTAGGGAATTTAACATTTATCTACAGATAGGATACGAAATAAAAAATCTTGTACAAACTTTGTAATCCTCTAGGGTGTAGATTGTATATAAACTATCGTATTGTACAAAACGTATAATCTTCTAGGATGTTAATTAAAAACATAATGCGTATTGTACACACCATTTTATCCTCCTGGACGTTGATTGTAAATACAGCGTATTGTACCGACCTTGTAATCCTCTAGGATGTCAATTGTGTATGTATAATCAGCGTTTTCGTCAACTTGTTCTACTGACTTTACTGTGGCTTTAAATGCTGTAAGAGAGGAAGCACGAATTAAATTCCCAAGTACACTTTATTGTATAACATGACTGTATTTGTATGCCCCTAGCGAAAATTTGGGGGTACACATTCGGTTCTTTTGTTGCCCTTGACTTTCTTACTCAGTTCTAATATTAACCTTGACTCTCTCATTCAGTTCTTACATTGTCCTTGGTTTTCTTACTCAGTTCTTACATTGACCTCGACTTTCTAACCTAGTTCTTACATTGACCTTGAATTTCTCAAACAGTTCTTATACTGACCTTGATTTTCTCAACGTTGACTTTCCCTAACATTCAAATTCTATATTTAACTGTATTTTATTTTTGTTACTTATAATTCACTATTTTTTTTAATTTTTTTTTTGAGTTTCTAAAGTTAATGTAAGTTTATAAATTACCACTATTGTAAATCGAAGTTTTCAAAGTGATCACTGTAGTGTCAAAGTGTTCACAATAGTTAAAAAAAACGTTTTCAAAGTGATCATTCTATTTAATAAATTTCAAGTTTTTAATTAAATAAATAAAGTTAATTAAAGTTAACATAGTGATCACTATGGTAAATCCAAGTTTTTATAGTTATCACTATTGTAAATCAAAGTGTAAATGTAATCACTATCGTAATTCGAAGTGTCAAAGTTATTACCATAGGAAATCAGAGAAGTTCATAGCATCAAAGTCATCACTATACAATACTTATCAAAGTAAACTTTAGTTAACTTCAGTATTTCTGTTGGAGTTACGAGGACTTAAGCTTTCTTATTTGATTCCAATTACCATAACATTAGCTTTTTTACTCATCTCTTCCAAAAACCTTTGCTACAACCAACCCAAAATAAAATATATGTATATTTATACAAAATCAGAAAAGGAAAATATAAATACAAAATAAATTTTCATCTAAATTATAACATACCATATTTTGCAAAGCAGAAATCCTCCTGATCTACTTTTGGAATCCAACTGCAACTAAAGGCCACAGAAACTATAACCCCGATGACAAAGACTTCAACCAGTTGGAACGCCATTTTTAATGGTGTCCGTGAGGAAATTTAAACAAAGTGTTTTTTCTGTATTTATACGGATTTCATACATACCACTGGCGGTATTCTGAATTCATGTTGCTGTGAATTATCATTCATCACTTCTACGGCGAAAATTACTCTATTTCACAGATTATTTATCATATTTTTTTGGTAATAAAAATTCGTGAAATATAATGTTGAAACAGCTGTTGAAATGTTCCTCGTTGGCCGAATGTAGCATGTTACAGTCGTGATTTTTACTACTGCGCGCTGTCCCACGACTCATGATACAATTATTCAAAAAAAGATAATATGGTATTTTGCGTAAAAATTTATTGACCATGTATAAAGCATGTTTAAGTTCAATTTTTGTGAAACTTATATAATGTCAAGTGAACGTTTATGTGGTGGTTATTTTAAATTTATTACACGCCATTTTGCGCCAAATTTTGTAAAATGTCACTCTAAAAAAAACATATTTAACTACACAGAAATAATCATCGCTTTGCTTGTATCAGGCTTGCATTAACGTGTTTGGAAAAGAGCTTAAGGTTAAAGGGCAAAAAAATTAAAGGGAAAGGATGAAAGGGGGCTCAAGTTGTGAAAATTTCCCCTTCTTTGTTAAAATATAAAAAAAAAAAACAACAAGAGGTCACTGATCATAATTAAACAAATTTTCAACCATTAATTTGGTTCACATTCATAATTTTAAAAAAGGCACCATTTCTCATCATAAAAATACACTTAGCATGCTTTGTTGGGATTTTTAATACTAATAAGCAGAATAGGAGGACAAAATATGCATTTCAGCTAATCAGTAATATTAAGCAATAATCAGTATTCCCCCACCCGAAATGAAACCCTGCGTTCACGCATTTCACAATTATGGAAAGAAGCACCCTTGCTCATCATAAATGTTTGATTAGTACCAAGCAGCAAATTCTAAAACATTTATTCAATTTCAGCATATTGTAAGAGTCCCCTACTTCTACGGTTCCCCTGGCCTAGGAACATTGAAATTAACAATTCTGAAAACAAAAATGACCAATAATCACCATAGTTGTATAGGTAGTTCATATGCTTAATACCCAGGAACAGGGTAAAGGATTTAATGCATTTTCACTTTATATAATATATATAGCCCCGCCCTAACACAAAACCCCCTGACTCTGGGGCAGTGAAATTCGCAATTTTGATAGAAAAACCCTTCCTCAATATAAGTATGATTTAGTTAGTTAATACCCAGGAGCAGAAAGAAAAGTTATCAAAAAATTAATGCATTTTCACCTTATAATTAATTGAGCCCTAACACCACAATTCTCAAAGAGACACTCTTGTTCATTATAACCATGCACTAAGTTTTTTCCATACAAAGAATCCGAGAATATGGTTTGCAAAGAATTAATGCATTTTCAATTTATAATCAATACAGAGAGAGCCTCCGTAACACCAAGTTCCCTTTTTAAATTTAAATAATATTTAATTTTATTCATAGATGTCGAAGTAGAAATAGGATTAGGCAGCAGGCATAACCTTCTTTAGCCCCTTCCTTATAAAGAAGGGGTGTAAAAGTTTTGGGTTAAACCCTCGTACATGTTTATATCATAAGACAACTTTAATTAGCGACGATTCTACTTCGCGATTTACCAGGGGTTAACTAGTTCGCGACGATCACTTTTCACGATTAAGCCTTTCTACTGAGATAAATAGAAAAAAGGATGTTAATGACCAGTTCGTAGCGAAAATAAGTCGCGATGACTAGACTCTTCCGAACTTCGCAAAAATTTCTTTCATGCGAATAAAAGTTGGTTTAGAGTATGGTATTGAATAAAACACCGTTTTATCAACATGCGCTGTACATGAAATACATATAAATTAATTCGTGGACTAGATTTAACTGTGTAAAAGGCCTTCCTGGTCTACATTTTAGACAAGGGCGAACAATTTTTTGTTTGCAGACGTGACGATTTATTTCCATTCAAATGTGATAAAACATAACAAACTAACATCTGTGCTAATACCCTAGAGACGTAAAAAATGATCCAATTAGGCTCATCAAAATCCATTATTCATCTATGTTTCTATCAATCTTTCTATTATTTTAATTTTATGGTCGTGTTTTAATCGCCTGTGAACATTTTAGACGTATTACGTATTTTGGACTGCTGTCTGTCTGTCTGTCCTTCATGAAAGAGCATCACAAGGACCCCTTTTTTCAAATCAGGTCAAGGTGAACGTTATGTAACGATGACCTATTTTCAAATTCGATTAGGTGAGTGTTCTTTGTAAAATTGTTTGAACTTAATATCCCCTAGCAATAGAGTTGGATGAGATATAAGAACGCAATCGTGCATGCTCGTTTGTGGGTGAGATAGTTAATTATCTCATTAGCGTCGGAAGCAAACTTGAAGGGGGCGAGCTTATTCAAAGAGAAAAAAATTCTACCTGAAAAATCCTTGACAAGAAAGAAAGAATGAAAATTTCATCGCTGTTCAAACATGAAAATCGTATGAAGGGAGGGGAGATGTTGTCGCCTAAATACATGTATGTGCGAAAGGGAAGTACGTAATTTGAATCGGGTCGATGCCGAATGCTGCCTTAATTTATAGATATATACTCTTTGCAAGGGGATGATCTGACCTGCAATGCCCTTGTATAATATTCAATAAAAAAATTTAACAAATCATGCATCTAAAGGTTCCAGAATATGATGTCTGAAAGCAGGTCATAATAAAATAGCTATTATTATTATTATCATTATTATGTTCCCCAAACGGAGTTTGGGAACATATTGTTTTTACTCGGTTTCTTATTATTAAGGTCTTCCATCTTCAGCGGAAGACCTTATTGTTTTTCTTAGGTTTCTTTTCCACTATTTTTCTTATTAAGGTCTTCCGTCTTCACGGAAGACCTTCTAGTGATTCTACTGTTTCTTATTATTATTTTTTTTTTTTTCCCCAAAATTTTGTGCACGCGATTTCTCAGAAACTATTCAGTGGTTTTCAGTGAAACTTTCAGGAATTATGCGTCATTACATGAAGTTGTGGCACGACTAGGAAAATTTGGAATACTCACCTTTGGTTCCATGTTATTGACAGTTTTCTGATTTTAAAATGCAATTTTGTCCCCCCTTTTTTTCGAAAATGGTTTAAGATATTAACTGGAGACTTGTTAGAGATGAAAGATGATGACTTTAAGATGTGACGAATCACCTATTCGTGAGTCGTCGGTACTTCCGGTTGCTACAGGAAGCGAAATTAAAAAGTACGTATTTTCTAACTTTTTTGTTTTTCAATATTTTTCATTTATTTTTGGAATATTAATAAAGACACTTATAATAATGCTTACTGTATAATTTGTTTGAATATTGATTAATCCAAACTCTAGATATTAATATTTAAAAATCTGAAGCGGGACCAAAATGGCGGCTGTCTCTGTCAACTCCGACATTTCGCAATAGGGGTTTACGGAGGCAGCCGAGCGTTTGCTTGAGCGAAAGTAACATAGGGACAAAAGAAATGTAAAGGAATACTTGGATTGTCACGTCATAGTTACGTTGCAATTCTGCGTCAAACTAAGTTCTTCTTAAACATCTTCTATAATTGGTTTTGCTGGTTCTCAAAGTAGAAAAAGGAAAGACTAAATGTTCAAATAAAATTCGATACCTAATATCTTTGATCTGCAACACGGAAAAAACAGATCTTAATTCATTGTTATAAGAAATAGTTTTTCAAGAAAGAACATTAATGAATACAGTAAGTATAAAACTTAGCCACTGGTTTTCCCATGCACACTTGTGCCATATTAAACTAATAGAAAATACAAAATAAGATAACCATTTTTTTTTAAAGATCGCTTAATGGAGTTTATATTAACATTATTGTCTTAAAGATCTTTTTCAAGTTATTGAGCACAAATGATATCCGATTTCTTGACCGTCTTAAGGCGAGCCATGTTTTTCAGCTAAACATTTCAACCTCTTCATGAATGTTTAACTAATCGGGATAGTTCACTTTGGCAATAAAGAGGAAATTTAAAAAAGTTAAAATTCATAGCCGTTTCACTGTTTAAGTGTTACTTGCTTACATACTATATGGAATTTGTAAAATGTGTTAAATATACTTTCTAATCGTCGTATTTTAGGCTATATGAACTGTTTTTTTTATTTCATTGAAGCTATCACACCTATTAAATAGAACATTCCAAAGAAAAGGCGCGAAGATTAACTCGTGGCGTTTGGCGCAAATTTATGAATAATGACTTACTGAGCCTTTCATCATTCAAAGACAAAAGCACTGTTATACAGAGGTATATACAAGAAGATTTAGAGCAGAGGTCCGAATAGCGTAATATTTAGCGCGTTGGATTTTCATGCTGGCGACTTGGATTCAACCCCACTTGGTCTGCAATATTTTTTTTCTACTTTACAGCTCTGTTTTACGTTTTTTTTTTTTCGGAATCGGACGGAAGACCTCTCGTTGCTCGCAACGAGATCGTATCTAGTTATTATTTTTTTCTTACCGATTTTGTGCACGCGAGTTCTCGGAAACGGCTCGATGGATTTTCATGAAACTTTCAGGTCTGATAGAACATCAAAAAATCTAGAAACAATTTTTTTTATTTTGATGACGTCACTTCCGGTTCGGAAATTTTCGCAATTTTGTCATTTTTAGAGGGTCACTTTGTCCGGCAATGTTCTCAAAAACCGTTGAAGATAGAAGTATGAAATTTTCAGTGATGATAGAGCAACCTTTGGAGAAGTGCATTGAGTATATCATTTTTACCGGAAGTAGGTAGCGCCGACGCTCGCTATGGCCCGAAAATAGTCTTATCAGGAATTTCAAAATATTTAGCACCTTTTCTACGATAAATTTTTACCTAGAAATATTTTGTTAAAGCATGTAGAACAAAAAAAATGTAGAATATCAAGATCTACCAAATGACATCTCGAAAAAAGGGCTGGCCCCTTAAATTAGGGGCCTGGAGGGGCCGAAAGTTTTTCCTTTATATCTTAAAAAGTTTTGAGAATTTGTGATACGTCAAAGAAGCAAAGTTGTTCAAAATGTCAAGCTTAATCTATTGGAGTCGTCAAAATACGCCCGGCGTCG